TCAGTATTTGCTAGTAAGCTTATTTCTTTTTCTTAACACAAGGGATTGCAGCATTTAATGCATTTTTTTTGGTACTAGGAATCCAACTCAAGACCTCATGCATCCCAGGCCGGTGTGGTACCACTGAGCTATATCTCTGGCCCTGCAGCATTTAATTAATTTATATTAGAGTAGCCAAGAAAAATTTATAACTAAATTAGATTTTTTTTTCTCCCGGTACTGAGGATTGAACCCATTGTGCTTGCAAGGCAAGAACTCTACACTGACTGGCATCTACAGCTTTTTTTTTTTTTTGAGACAGGGTCTTGCTATAAATCTTGGCTAGCCTCAAACTTGTGGCAATCCTCCTGCCTCAGTCTTCTGAGTGCGGCGATTAGAGGCATGCACCCCTATACCTCTGTACATCTACAGGCTTTTCATTTTTTAATTACCAGGCAGGGTCTCATTAAGTTGCCCAGGATAGCTTCAAATTTTCTTTCTTTCTTTTCTAATCTTTATTAAATTTATTGGTACATATTAGGTATACAATACAGTTACATTTATCATTGGAATCTTGTACCTATACATGACTTATCAGGTTCTTATTTTCCCCATTCCCCAGCTCTCCCCTCAGCCCCTCCACCCTTCCCTGCTTACAAAGACAATGTTTCCATGTTTTTCCTTTTCACATTTTTTCTTTTCCCTTTTTACGTTTCCCCTACCCCTCCCACTTCCTCTACTCTTTTAGACTTTTCTTCCTATTACACAATATCAAGTATACATTTTAATCCTTATTTACACTTCTACTTTTTCACTCCAAACTATTCAGTATTTACACATGTGTAACTTATTAATTTCACTTAAGAGTATGGCCTCAATGTGCATCCACTTAGCTATATATCTATTTTCTCATTCTTTATGGCTGATTAGTATTCCATTTCACCAAAAACAACAATAACAACACATCTTTATCCAGTCTCCAATTAATGGGCAATTGGGCAGTTTCCAAGTTTTAGCTCTTACAAACTGTGCCTCTGTAAACATGGGTAAGCATATATCACTGTGGTATGATTCTTTTCTTTTGGGAAGATATCCAGCAGAGGAATAGCTGGGTCAAATGGGACCTCTAATCCTAGTTCTTTGATGAACCTCCATATTGATTTCCACAGTGGTTGCACCAGTCTGCACTCCCACCAATGATACAGAAGGGTTCCTTTCTCCTCACAACCCCACCAGCATTTGTTATTGGTTGATTTCTTGATAGCAGCCATTCTTTGTGGGGTGAGGTGGAATCTCAGTGTTGTTTTCATCTGCATTTTTTTTTTTTTTTGGTTTTTTTGAGACAGCGTCTCGCTGTATAATTGAGACTGACCTGGAACTCACTATGTCGCCCAGGCTGGTCTCGAACTCACAGCGATCTTCCTGCCTCAGCCTCCCAAGTGCTGGGATTACAGGTGTGCACCACCACACCTGGCTAAAACTGTTTTTTATTGTTGTTTGTGTAACCAGGGATTGAACTCAGGTCCTTGCAAGGCAGGCAGTGGCGGAACCTCTGAGCTAAATCCCTGGCCCTGCATTTCTTGAATGACCAGTGATGTTGAACATTTTTTCATATGATTACTTGCTACTTTTACTTCTTTGTCTGAGAAATGACTGTTCATTTCAGATGCCCAATTTTGAATTGGGTCTTTATATTTGGAGGGTCTGAGTTTTTTGAGATCTTTATATATTCTAGATAGTAGACGTTTGTCTGAGGAACAGCTGGTAAAATTTTTTCCCCACATTGTGGATTGTCTTAGCTCTGCTTGTGATTTCTCTGGCAGTGCAGAAGCTTTTTAAAAAGATGAGATCCCAATTGTTGATTGTTTGTGCTAGTTCTCATGTTACTGAATATTTGTTCATAAAGGCTTTTCCTGTGTTGAAATCTTCAAGAGTTCTACCTAACTTATCTTCCAGCAAGTTTAGTGTTTCTGTTTTAATATTTATATCTTTAACCACTTGGATTTTAGTTTAGCTCATGGTGAAAAATACTGGTCTAGTTTTAATCTTTGCCAAGTTGAAAACCAGTTTTTCCAACACCATTTATTAAAGAGGCTATCTTTCCTCCAGAGAGGGTATTTGGCTCCTTTGCCAAAGATGAGGTAGTTGAGTATGTCAGAAGATGTTTCTGCACCTTCTATTCTATTTCACTAATCCTCAGGTCTGTTTGTTGGCCAGTATCATGCTGTTTTTAACACAGTGGTTTTGTAGTACAGTTTCAAATTTGGGATTGTGATACCCCCTGCCATGTCTCTGTTGCCCAGAGTGGCTTTTTGCTATTCTAGGTCTCTTCTGATTCCAAATGAAACTTTTGATTATTTTCTCTAGCTCTATGGAATATACTGTTGGGGTTCCAATAGGGATTGCATTGAATCTGTATAGCAGTTTTGGAAGTATGGCCATTTTCACTATATTGGTTCTTCCTATCCAAGAGCAAAGGATATCTTTCCATTTTCTTATATCTTCTTCAATCTCTTTTTCCAGAGTGCTATAGTTTTTAGTGTAGAGGTCTTTTGTCTCCTTCATTAGATTGATTCCAAGATATTTCATTTTTTGGACGCTATTGTGAAAGGGATTGTTTCCCTAATTCGACCCTCAGTGAGACTGTTATTGGTGTATAAGAGGCTATTGATTTTTGGGTATTTACCTTGTATTCAGCAACACTACTGAATCTGTTAATCAAGTCTAGAAGTCTTTTAGTGGAGGTCTTTGGGTCTTCAATGTAGAGTATCATATCATCAGCAGCAAATAATGAGTTTCACTTCTTCCTTTCCTGTCTTTATTGCTTTTATTTCTTTCTCTTGTCTAACTGTTGTGGCTAATGTCTCCAAAACTATATTGAACAGGAGTGGTGATAGTGGACATCCTTGTCTCATTCCTCAAATTTTCTGTTCTCCTGCCTCGGCCTCTTGAGTGGCTGGGATAACAGACAGGTTCCAGCATGTCTAACTTTAGGTTTCTTACATATAGCCAAGAACTATGGAAAAGTCAAAGGACCAAAGGCAAGATGAACAACTTAGTGCAAACTTTATAATTTTTTGAACTATTTATTCTTAGGCTGCTACTGAGGGAAAAGATGATGAGGTGATTACTACTGTACGAAAGAAGCAAAGGAGGTTCTGAAAACGGAAATGACTACTCTCAAATCGTTCTGCTGCAGCAAAATTGGAACTCAAACCCAAATCACTTTTGGGGGTGTACGGGAGATTGAACTTAAAGCTTTTGCGTTGAACTACATACCTAGCCCTTTTTATTTTATTTTTTGCAGTTTATTTGAAAAAGCAAAAGTGAAGAGTGAGAAAGGAAATGGCTCAGCAGAGTGAGCTTGGACTGAGTTAAAAGAGGAAAAAGCAAGATAAAAGTACCCTCTGGAAGAGGTCGAGTGGACTAGCATGAGGAAAGCCATGTAGCCTTATTTTTTATTTTGAAGAAAGGTTTCACTAAGGCATTAAGTTGCCTAGGCTGCACTTGAAATTGCAATCCTCTTGCCTTAGCCTCCCGGAGTACTGGGATTATAAGCCTACCATGCCCAGCTACAATATTTGTTTGTTTTTTGAGGCAGGGTTTCACCAGGCTGGCCTGAAATTCACGGAGGTCCTACTATCTTAACCTCCTGAGTGCTGGGACTACAGGCTCCCACCACCCTCATGAGTTTCTCATTATAGCACAGCTTTGTAAAAGTAGCAACTTTGTATTAGCTTAGCATATGAATCTGTGGAAATCTTTGCTCTCCAGTTTATTAAGGTGGTGAATACTTGGGGATTTGGGGTTGACGTGCTGAAGCCAGGATGCTAGTGTACACCCTGGCTCTGGAGTCTGAGCCTTGATCCTCCGCTTAGGATGGATGTGTAATGCAGTGCTTGAGTCTGATGACTAAGTTGCCACTAACTGTTGACCAGCGCAAGTTGCTTCATATCTCTGGGCTTCATTTTCCTGTACTGTAAAAATGGAGTCAATATGACAATAGCACCTACTCTTGTGAACATTAAATAAGTTTATGGAAAATCCTGTATCACGATTAGTATCATCTATCAGTTTGCCACACGCTTTCCTAAATGCAGTATAATGCAACTCTAATGTGCTTGAGTAAACCTCTGGATGAATGATAAAGCTAAGAAAAGCCCTGCTCCATCCCTAAAGAGCTAGTCAACTCCTTCAACATAGTGCCTTGCAAACAATGGAGGTTTAAAAACACCTCTACCTTAAAAAACAAAACAAAAACCCAAAAAACCACTACCTTGAACTGAACACTATGGGTAGTACCAGATCTCTCAGGCTTAAGGTTCAAATGTTACAAGTCACCTCCCCTCCAGCTCATTTATCTCAAAAAGCTGAGGCCAGGGAAATGATTTGTAAACAAGTCCCACAAAACTCAGGTGAGAATGAAAACCAGTTCTTGGAAACTACAAATTTTACATCCTGGTGCCTGAAGTCTGGTCCTACTTGCACGTCCTCTGCCCTAAAGCTCAGGAAGCTGTTTCTGTGTTATTGGGCTGAAACTCTTAACAGCCCCTCGGTAGGTGCTTCCAATTTCCTTAGCCGCTTCCACACCCAGGTTGCCAGGGGAAGCCGGGCCCAAGAGGCCATATGGGCAGACTTACCAGGTGTCAGATCAAAGGGAAGAAAAGTAAAAGTAGGTCAAACCCAAGGTCCAGGTGGCATATCGCAGCCCCAGCTCGCCCCGGCCCCGCCCCGAGCCTGCCCCACCTGACCCCGCGGTGTCTGCCGCCGGACTCCGTCCGTAGGCGCTTGCGCATTTCTTAAGGCGTCTTGACACTGCCTAAATTTAAATAGGGCAAGAGAGGGACCCTCGTATCTTCTACAGATCCAGACATCGCAGTTATACGTGCTGTCCTAGAGCTAGTTTTGCCTTAGTGGTCATGATAACATGCGTTTTCTTACCTTGATGCGGCTTAAGAGGACCTGTTTTAAATTAGGCGCTCTCCGGGCAGCCGGTCTCCTGGTGCAGGGGCCTTGCGCTGCGCCTCGGGACGGCAAAAGGGGAGGCGGGGTCCTTCTCTAGGTCTGTCGCACAGGCAGAGGCTGCGAGCCGCTGAGACCAGGAATCATGTATTACAAATTTAGTGGCTTCACGCAGAAGTTGACTGGAGCATGGGCTTCGGACGCCTATAACCCGCAGGTACAGATCGTGCTGCACCGGCACGGACGTGAAAAATGACCCAAGTGTCTGAGCCAGGCTGTTTCGGCGTCAGAGCCCAGACCGGCTTCTGCCCCTGAGTCGGTTCGGGTTCGCTCGCAACTCCGGGTACTTTTCCTCACTGGTCTGCCCTGGTCATCTAGGCTTCTCCTTGTGTAGCTGCGACCTAGGCGGGATTGGCCCGGCACAGAAATTGGGTGTGTCACTGTTAGGGGTCAAGGTGACCCCGGGGACTTGTTCCTTGTCTAAAATGGATGACTCGTGGGATTGGTCAGGCCCATAATATGACCCACCTGAGTTTGAGGTGCGGCGTTCTCCTGGCCTTCTGACCTGTCCGTGTTGCCCCTTCCCCCCAAAGTCAGCCTCTCTCGAGTACGAGATTGGAGAGAGTGGTCGCACCTGGAGAAGTCCTGGGGGCAGGAGGGGCCATGTTATCCGATCTGGATTTGGGGTATTTACGATATTTAACGTGCTCTTTAAAATTGCTGGAGGTGGGCCAGGGATTCAGCTCAGTGGTACCGCCGCCTGCCTCGCAAGTGCAATGACCCGAGTTCGATCCCTGGTGCTCCCTCTCACCCCCAATTGCTAGAGGAGCGTAGGAAGTTACATGCAACGAAGTTCCACCTTCTCAGTTGTAAGGTGGATAACGATACCCGTTGTTTGGGAAGGCTGAAAAATATTCTGATTGCAACTTAAAATTTTACCAGTTGGAGTTTTAATCTCCATCTTGAGTGAGTGGTACAAAAGTGAGATATACTTTAGAATCCCATTTATTTTTGGATTCAAATACTGACATGTTGTTTTAATTATGTGATCATGACCACATATTTTTTTTTTTATGAGGTCAGTTTCAAACAGGGTAGCTTTGGACTAAAACCTGACATATTGAAATAAAACTTGTTCTTAGAGCAGGGATTACCCAAAGATGCATTTGGTTATTGATCAGACTTTCAGACTTCTGGCACTTTTTGAATTATGGTTCACTTGAGAATTTGAACTTCTTAACAGATTTCTTAGCCGGAAATGATGGCACAAACCTGTAATTCCAGAAATCTGGGAGGCAAATGGAAAGAAAATCCAAACTTCAAGTTTATCTTGGGCAATTTAGCGCAGCTCTGTCTCAAAGTAAAAGAAAAATAAAAAAGGTCCGGGATTGAGTTTAATTCAAAAGCCCTTGGTTTAATACTCAATACTGAAAAAAAATTTTAAACTAAAGTAGCAATTTGTGTAGTGTTTATATGAATTGTGGATTTCAGGATGATTGTTACAGCTCTCCACCCCAACTAGGTGCTCTATTTTGGTAATTAGGAGTATTTCAACTTTTCCTTTTTGGAAATATAGCACACTGTAAAATGAAGATGTTTGTAACTTTTTTAGTATTATACAAAGTGAGAAACCTCACATGCATTAAGTAACCTAATAGAGAAGCTAGTTTTGTAACAACAGTGCAGAATGGTAAGTCAACTTGTTGGCAAGTAGTTATTGGGAGAGTATTTGCCAGTGATTAATTGAAAAGCATTTTCTTTACTTTTCTGTGTCTTGTGCCAGAAGTAAATTGAGACCAATAAACACATAAGATGCTTCACATCATTAATCATCAGGGAAACAAAAATAAAAACCGTGATGAGATGCCACTTCCCATCTGTCAAGATGCCTTTAATCAGCACGGTAATAGCAAGTAGTATTGTTGAGACTGTAGAAAAACTGGGACCTTTTTACATTGCTGGTGAGTATGTAAAATGAGACAGCCACTTTGGAACAGTTTGACAGTTTTCTTAAAATAGGAAACATAATTTTCTGATATGACCCAGCAATTCTTGTCCTAGTTAAGATGGCTGAATGAGATTCTAGGTGCAGGGAACCACGAGAGACACTTGAGAGGGGTCTGGAGGAGAATCATTGAGGTGGCAAAAGCTTCTCTGGGTGGTGCAGGTGGATCTTGAAGGGCCTGTGATATGGGGCTTAATTTTGTGAGAAGTGAATAGGAACTTAATGATTTGGTGCAGATATCATGGTAGGGTTTGTCTTGTGATTGATGAGATTGAAAAATGACAGGGGAATGAAAGGTTGTGGCGCCTTCCACAAACATGGAGCTACTGGGAGTGAAGCTTGGATATGCTGAGTGCAGGATGTCAGGGACATAGAGGTGATGATTTCCACCTTGCTGTGGGAGACAAATTGAGTCATTGTGGATTGAAACTCGTTTCCAGTCCTAAATCAGAGTGAAATAGTTCGTATGTTTCTGAAAATAAAAAATTTTGCTGTGTGTGGTGGTGCATTCCTGTAATTTTAGCTGGGAAGCTAGTCAGAAGAAGTTGTAGAAATCCAGGGGCTTGGACTAGAGTGTAGATGGGTGGAAACAGGAGAGAAATGGTTCGATTCCGAGCATACTTTAAAGGTAGAGCCAAAAGGACTTGCACTGTGTGAACGACAGGTGTCGGTAATTGGGAGGTTGTTGGCCTGAGAACCTGGTAGGATGGCATTGTTGGTGATCAAAATGGTGAGGGATATTTGAAATTTGCAGTTCTAGGTTGGGGCAACTTCAGCCCTGAAGTAGGCATAGGGATTTACCCAGGTCCTTTCCTGTATACATACTGTCCCTGTCCAGTGCAGTCTTGAGAAGCCTAGTGCTGGTGAGCTCACTGCCCTGAAATCCTGGGAACACTGACTGCTTTTAAGATGTTGAGTGGTTTATGATGGGTCAGTGAGGCACCTCTCACCATATTGCTTTATATTGATAGTATGAGTAATAAAAATATCTGACTTTGAGTCCCATTTTAAGAAATCTCTGGACGCCTGTAATCCCAGCACTTGGGAGGCTGAGGCAGGAGGATCACTGTGAGTTCAAGACCAGCCTGGGCTACATAGTGAGTTCCAGGTCAGTCTCAACTCTATAGTGAGACCCTGTCTCAAAAAACCAAAAAA